AATAATAAAGTGAAATAATGAGAACAAAAACTTCGTTACAATAGAAAATAAAAATACATTGATTCTGTATAATTCAACAAGAATTAAGTATGAATTTTGTTTCATATAAAGTAACATTGATTAGAGACTTAGTGGCCAACAGATATAGAAAAAAGAAACAGAATTATCTTTCTATGATTTATTCTAAATAGCAGTATTAATGCGACGTTTCAGCCATAAATTTTATAAAATAGAGAGCTACAATGAAAAGATATATCAAAAATCTTTTGACTAGTCAGTAATATTCAGTAAGGTCATAAAAGCCAAATATGGTGTGTGAAGGGAAACAAAAAGGGAAAAAAATGATAAAAATAATAACTACCCTTTCCTATAATAAAAAAAAGTCAGTACATATGATCAGTACATAAAAGAACTGCTTTGACAAACCCAATATGTGAATATATACCACATAATTGCTAGTTGTTTTGAAGATTACAGATTTCTGCCAGAGAAAAAGTTACAACAAGGGGACATAATTCAGAAAACCATTATTGACCGTAAAAACAAAATAATATTTCTTTACCAAGTGTAACATTAATCTTACGAAAGTTGGAATATAGATCATCTGAAACTTTGAGAAAAAACAAGACAGTAATCAGCACTAAGTTACTAAGATCAACCCAGATCTTCAACCGGCCTATGAACTATACCACAAGAAGGTAGCTGTCCCAAAACCACACGTTCCTATTGAAATAAATCACGTAAATCTATTTCTGCTGTTGTTGTATTTCTTTCTTGCAACCATACGCTTGTCTATAACATTGGCAATGCTTCAGTTAAGAAATTCAAATACTATGAGTATAATAGCATAGAAAATGAATTGAATATTAACAATTTCTCATCTTAAAATTTCAGAAAAAATACACTAAAGTAAAAATTTGAACATAAAACAATGCACATAAAATCAGAAGGCTTTCAAGAATAATTCAATAAACAAAGCAAAGATATTAATAATTTAGAATCAATGTTACAAATTTGACTGATAATCCATTAAAAGTGTTCTATATTCTGAATGTCTTCAACAAGCACAAAACCTCAAAATGTTGCTTGCATGAGGGTTGAAAATGTAAATTTCTAATTGAAAGTGCAACATTTACAAGATTTGGGCAAACTGGGAATTCTGGTTTTACCTTAAGCTAAAATTAGCCTTGAAAAGGAGATTTCAGAATGCTGATTAGAGATTAAGGCGAGCACATTGTGGAAGTGATATTGGGATAATTGCATGAGGTAAATTTAAATCTTAAAAGGGACTAAGGTCTCAAGAAGAGTACTTTAAAAGGAACTAATGTCTCAATGATAGTACTTTAAAAGGGACTAAGGTTTCAAGGAACGTACTTTAATACTTTAAAGGGACTAAGATCTCAAAGAGAGTACTTTAAAAAAGGTCTAAAGGAAAGTACTTTAATAATTTAAAGGGGACTAACATTTCAAAGCAAGTACTTTAAAGGGACTAAGGTCTCAAGAAGAATACTTTAATACTTAAAAGGAGTCTAAGATCTCAAGGAGAGTACTTTTAAAGGATCTAAGTTCTCAAGGAGAGTATTTTAAAAGGGACTACAGTCTCAAGAAGAGTACTTTAATAATTAAAATGGGACTAAGATATTAAGAAGAGTACTTTAAAAGAGACTAAGGTACCAAGGAGAGTACTTTATTACTTTAAAAGAGCAAATCTGAACAATTACTATGAAAGTATTTATAGAAAAGGCACAGAAAGGCAACCTTGCAGTAATGGAAAGTGACTGAAGCTGAGCTGCCAGATCCGTACCAATAATATTGTTGATTCTTCTTTGAATTTTATCAAGGAGCTTATGGTAAATAGCAGGGGTGCCAGACCATATATGGCAGCAATAATCTAAACATGGGCGAATGGTAGACTTATAGCCACATGCAAGATACATTCTGGATTTAATTAAATTTTATTTTAAGTTGGTATTCATTCAATATTAATAATTAAAAAAAAAAAAACATTTTATTTCATCTTAAATTGCTTAATTAATAAAACTTGTTCTAATAATGTGTCTGCTATAATTTGAATCTGTTTAATATTTTGATCAGATCTTAATTTATACAGATTTTATTACAGTTTTTTTTACAAACACTACAGATAGCAACACAAAAGAATGAATTAAATTGTTTTTCATTTATTATTTTTTAGTCTGACTTTCTAATGAGCACAACTATAATGGCCATCACTGTCTTTGATGAGTAAGTTTGAATCCTGATACAATTCAGTTGAAACAGTTAATGATTTACTCAAGGGGGCTTCAAATCAATCACAGTTGTAAGTATCAACTGTTGCTTTCTTTCAAGTGTTCTCTTAGTCTTAGGGCAAGTTTTTTGAACAGACTCAATATCCAAACAATTGCTGTGGAAATATCAATTAAGGATTTGTTTGTTTTCCTTCAGGACAACAGAAGTCTTTGACTTGTTGAGTAGAACTGAATAAACACTTCCAAGTAATCTGGCCCAGAATTATAAGGCTTGAATTCATACAAATAATTATCAGACTTCAATCTTCAGACCAATTCTACAAGAATAGTAAATATGCTTCAAGACATTATACTTTGCATTAACATGTGATTTTTCATTTCTTTGACGTAACATTCCACTTTCTTCTGTTTCATTTGGTTTCATGCCTTAAGTTCCTTGTTAAACAACGTAACGCATGATTTTCATGCTCTCTGATACAATGTCTTCCTCCGTTCAGAACATGGGCAATCATGGCTCTCCACAATTTCCTGTCTTTGTAGCATTTAGTAAATTTTATCTTTTCACTATCTCTCTTAATCCCTGTTCTGTCAAACATTTATTTACACAAGTTTATTTGGAAGGTTATGTGATGCACTGCTTTTCTCTGTATCTCTTGTATTCAATATGTCCTATGAGTGTCAAATTTTCCGAGCCTTCTTCTCTCATTATATGCCCTAGAAATTTCAATTATCTCTTTCTGATTCTAAGTATAAGTGTCATTTTTCTTCTCATTTTCTCTAAAACTTCATCATTGCTCACATATCCAGTCTATCATTTACTCAGCATCCTCTGTAGAAACACATTTCTGTTGCCTCAAGACTTTTCTTCATCTGTGAGATGAGATTGTTCAGCATTGACTGTTATATAGGAGGACCAATAGAGAGAATGGGAGAAAGAAGTGTGCCTTCCATTATTTTTTAAAAGTACAAAGAAGATGTGTCTTGAAAACAAACATTTTTATCTGGAGTTGGGCATCAACTAATAGGAAATATGTATTTTTCTGCAATGAAGCATACTACAATTTTGCCATCTTTGACCGCAAAACCCTTCCAAGGGTAACTTAAAATATGTTACTGTTAACATTATTCTAATTTAAATATTGAATATTTAGATTATGGAGGCACAGTGAAGTTCTTGGTTTTGCCAACACCTATTCTATAGGCTTACAGCCATAACGCATTGAAACACCAGTACTCGTTGGATCACCAAAGTTAAACAACATCGAACCTGGTTGGTACCTGGTCAGATTAGATTTGATCTTCTATACAATTCTTGTAGCTAAGTTGGTTAGAGTAGCTTGACCAATCCTCCCTGAGGCAAAAGGGATGTGAGTTCAAGTTTGGGAATATAAGGTGCTTTAAGCTTCGATGTGAAGTTGGTATCATGGGTAACAGCTGGCAATTGGAAATCAGAAAGTGCCAAGTTCTAATTCCAGTCAGGTTTGTTATATTCACCTACATGCAAATACCTTTCGGAAAGGTATGAACCCACCTCTTCTCTCCTCAGTTATGGGCTGATTAGTAGGACTTGCATAAGTAAATCCTTATTATTTTTAAACTTTATCACTGCTTCTTCCTTCCACCAATTTCAAATGCAGGGCACAGTTTATGTTACAAGTTTCATTTTCATTTAAAAAATATTTTTCTAATTTCAGAATCCCAAAATAAAGGTCTAAAGTAACTTTAGATCTTTATTTTGTTTACATTTTTGTTCACAGATTTAAAAATGTATTTCTAAAAAATTCAAATTTTCTTTAAATTTATTCTGTAAGGTCTATGTTTTCCTTCTGTAACAAAGAAAAGTTAGGTACTGTCTTTTTTGGTGTTTTTAGCTGCATATAAAATAATGGATTTTTAAAAAGCAGACTTTAATTCTGTTTTGTCTATTCTTTTGAGAAACTTTGTTTTGCTTTCAGTATTAATTTTAAGCAAACTAACAGAAAAGTCTTAGCAAAATAAAAATTTAAAAAAAAGGAATTTGTTTTAGGGCATAAAACTTCCTCCATCATATGCATTTGTCATTTTCAGAGTCAAGGAAATATGTTGGATAAATGACTGAAACATTCTATTTAAAAAGCGTAATAACAGTTTTATTGTTATTCCTTGTGTGATTTTTCAGAAGTTCTTGAAATAACATTGAAAGTATTATCAGCTATGTTTTGTGTTAAGAACTTGAATACAAAACATAATCTATTCTTTGCCATAAAAGTCTATTGTTCGGTAGCCATTCAAAACAAAGATGCAGCTTTTTGTGCATTAAAATTTATATATTATGTTTTTGATATTCATTTGAAACTGACAGTCATTATACAGTGTCGATTTCTATGTCTGTACTATTCTCCCACCAGTGAAATAGTAGGATTTGTATCTAGAAAAGACATTGTTATTTCAGAAAAATTGTTAATGCAGTATTCACCTGGAACAAAAAGTATTATTTTTACAATAAAAAGTATGTTTCGGCTTTAAATAAACTACAAAGGGTTACTAAGCCAGAAAACAAATCTATTTATCTATTCACTTTTGTGCAAATACCCTCAGGAAATGTATGGATCCTCTTTTCCAACCATCTATTGGTTCAATAGTAGTACTTATAGCTTAAAAAACATTGTTATTCTCAAAAAATTGTTAATATATTATTCACTTCCAAAAAAGCATTATTTTTACAGTCCAAAATATGTTTCAACTTTGAATAATCTACACACAGTGGATAAGCCATTAAAATAAATCTATCTATCTATCTATCTATCGATCTATCTATCTATCTATCTCGGTCTGCTTATATCTATCTATCTATCTATCTATCTATCTATCTATCTATCTATTTATCTATCTATCTATCTATCTATCTATCTATCTCAGTCTGCTCATATCTATCTATCTATCTATCTATCTATCTATCTATCTATCTAGTTGAATAAAATTATGATAGATGTAGTCACATGTTTATTCATTGGCAATAATATTACAATAAGCTAACGACTCAGACTAGTTAAAAAGAATTCAGCACTTATGATTGAATAGGAACAGTATGGCTAGTCACTTATATCTGGGTATACCCGTCTGCTCGGAGGGCGAGCTAGTCTCTGTTGGAAATACTCATCTGAATCCATCTTGCATATTTACAAATCTTCCATTCATCTATGCATTGAGTACTGTTGACATATCTGATCAGGTGTTCCTGCTGTACACCTCAAGATTCTTGATAAAATTCAAAAAAGGATCTGCAATGTAATCGATCTTGACTAGGCATCTCAACTTCTCACCAACATGACATGGCTTCCCTATGCCTGTTCTACAAGTATTTTAATGGCAATTGCTCTGACAAGCTTTTTTCCCTGGTGCCCCATCTACATGAATTTAAGCGTGCTACTAGATTGGCATCTAGGTCCCACTGTTTTACTATTGATATAGCTAAATGTAACCGCCGCTTCTACACTAAGAATTTATTTTCTCACATATCCCACCTGTGTAACTCCTTTCTGTTTACTTGCTTCCCTGATAACTACAGTCCACAAAAATTTAAATTCAACATTGTAGTTAAATGAGTCTCTATTCCTCGGACATCATTCGTACAATACAAGATACCACTTGTTCAATTTGCCGTTCGTACGTTCTGCACACCTCACCAACATAAAACCATTCTGCCTTCTCACTGCTTCAGCACTTCTATCAGGTTAACTGTCTGACCAACCAATCAATGTTATTCACTTTTGTTCTCAGCTACCCAGGCAAATAGCCTCCTTCAGTCTAACCAATCAGCACACGACTTACTGTTGGTCAATCCATGCCAAACGGCATATACTGTTGGAATAGTTAAATGGGAGAGTAATGCCATTTTAAAGGAACAAAATGCTGATGTCACATGCTGCACATTGAGGTAAGACACCTATTTTCATTTGCATCAGATGCAAGCCACTCTGGTTCGTTTGCTTCTGTGTGAGTGTTCACTACAAACATCAATCTCCATCTTCTGTCTTCTTGAATCCCATTTACCTTTTGTCATTTTGTCAATCCTCCCTATTCTCAGTCTTAATTAAACAATACTGTTTAATTAAAAAAACAGAGCTTCTACACTATAAGTATCCATCAAAAATAATTTTTAAACAAAATATATTAAAAATAACAATATGTTGGATCTGATCCATATCACAAAAAATACATATAAATAGAATTCGGATCAAATATAAATCAAATATGGATTTGAATCCCTCATGGACAAACTAGAATTATGATACACATACACAGATGGAGTATACACATGAACACTGCTTGAAAGGACGGATGCACATGAAGGCTGCTTACCCTCAAAATGCAAGGGTTGTATATTATGAGGTTATGTAGGATAGATAAAGATTGATCCTCAACACAAAGAGGTTGTAGTGATCAGAGCAGCCTCTGCTCAAGAGCCTGTTCCACATTGCAATAGTTCTGGGGAAGAATCTGTCTGAGTGGAACTTATTCCTTACTTATGGAATATGAAGGGAATGAGGATGAGTTGACCCAGTGTACATTGCATAGTGGGTCCTAGCTGTGAAAGTCTGGACAAGAGGAACCAAAAAATGTAGTTAGCCTGAACATCCATCATGAAAATAATGGTAGAGTAGTGAGAGATTAATAATGTTTCATCTGCATGATACGGGTTGAAAGTTAGAAAACAATCAATCATCCACAAGGCCACACAAAGGCTTTTGAATTTAGTTAAGGCTGGAAAATAAAGATTGGGCAACTCTGGCTCAGATATGGAAGCAATACTCCATTTTTGGTCTGATCTGATATTGGGATTTTCCCAATTATATTTGGTAACAAATATATTGTGATGCTGGCAAGAAGAAAGGAACACAAACACAGATGAAAATGTTTGAAAAAACTTGTATTGTAGGAAAAGAGAGGAAGGTTTCATTGCAAACAGTCGGGTTTGCGGAACTTGTCTGAAATATGCCTCCTTTTAACAGTTTATTTCCTGTGTCATTTTGGCTGGGTTGAAGAAAATAGAGTCTTGACTTCTGTGCTTCAGTTGCTGTCTAAATCCACACACGTGTCCTGGTTTTAGATGACGGAGAGTGCAGACGAGGAAACGTGTTGTCACTGAGGTTCCCAACAAGCAAAAGAGGAAGAGAGTTTGTAAAAAACTGCTCTTGTGGGGGTTTGGTGAATATCTAAAAAGGTAGCCTGTGATTGGTTGTTTTTCCTCCACCACAGGGCACCCAGTTAGCGACTCCGTAATAATTTCAATACTGAATCTTGTAAAAATAGACCATGTCAGGAGGCTTCAGGCATTTCAGAAAGCTGATCATTTTTGCAGCATCTTTAGCATTAGATTGTATATATGAGTTCCACTTCTGATGTGAGCTTATGACCCAATAGGCATTCTGGGTAAGGAGTCTCATTAAGAGTACAACCCTTCATCATGACTGGAGAAAACTCATGATCTCTTTGGTGGTTATGAAACAAGAACAGCAAAATCCATACTGTTTGTTGCTTAAGAGTTTGTTACTGTTGAGGTGATTAACAACCTTCTTGCTGATGATAGCCTCAAAAAGTTTGCTGATGACACTGAGGTGGTTGATGGGACAACATTGCAATGGGAATGACCGCTCACCTGTATTCTTGCAAGCTAGAAGTCCTCATTATCTTTTGTTGCATGCCACTTGAAACCACCAGTTTATTCCAAATGGGGTTAATTGAAACTTTGGAAGGAAAACATATTGTATCCGTGATAACAATCAAATAGAAAGGGGAGATTTTGCGATATCACAAGTTATTTTTATTCATCTAGAAAACATTATTATGGTTCCTGGTTAGAGGCTAATGACAGTGGGATGAGCTGTAGAACAAACATACTACTATGAATATTAGATTCAAAAGTTAATCTTTAACTTTAAAAAGCACTCAGCCTTTTTAATTAAATCATTTAACACCTTTTGTTACTCAGAAAACAAGAAGTCAGAGTATACTAAGAAGTACTACACAAATTTCTGCCTGCAACATCCACGTATGCACCTGTTGCATACATGGATGAGATAAATGACTGTTCAAACAGCATTATATTTACTTTCTTACCTTGACTGAGACAATTCCATAACAAAATTTTGGCAAGTTAGCTAAGAAGACAAAGTATCTCATTTGACTTTACCACAGTTCAATTAAAAATTAAATGACAATAAAATTTGTTTGTTTTTTGGGGTTTTTTTTTTTCAGAAAGGCTAGAATAAAACAATTCTTCTTTATGGGTCATATCCCCTCATGGTGTAGACAATAATGGAATCCCAAATTTTCAGAAACCAGTTCTATAAAGGCAGGTAATCTTTAGGAACCTCTTTTGCTTATTTTCTTTTCACTTTTCATCATAGTATCAAAAAGAATTAAACCATTTTAATAATTTAATAGAAAACATCTATTTATTAAGACATTTCCAGATTTAAATTCTGTTCTCATCATATTTCTGTTCAGAAATGTGATGCTTTTTTACTCTGTGTTATGGTTTCTTAGCCACATTTGAATTAAATTGCTGCACAATGGAAGACCTATGACTAGAAGATTTCCCACATTTTAAACTTCATAACGATTTCTTTTGTCAAAAATAAATTATGCCCATCACAGAAAACCCTCTTTCAGCCTCTGCAGAACTTACAGCAATGATATTAATTTTTGTAATGCCTGTTTGTAAGAGAGACTTTGTAAATCACAGATACACAATAGTAACACCTTCAAACAATACTTGGTCAGACACTGCTAATTCCAATATATATATTTATCCTTTACTCATCACGTGATCTAATTATTTCAAGATGAGGTCGACTGTGCTTGCTTTCTGGTGATCCATGTTCAAACCCAAATGTCAGCAGCATCACTTTATTTCTATATGACATTAATTATACTTTTAGCTATTATATATTGGCTATTAATATATAAGATTAGACAATCATTGATGTCCACAATTCTATGTCCTTTGTATCACTTAATAAATTTCATCTTTATATTATTTCTCTTAAACACTGTTCTACAATCCATTTACTTAAGCCCATCAAGTATGCTATACAGTTTTTCTCTGTCCCTCTTGCCCTTAATCTGTCCTGTGAGTATCAGATTTTCCAAGCCCTCTTTCCTCATTATGTGCCCAATAAAATTCCACTGTCTCTTCCTGATGTTATGTATAAGGTTCCTTTTCATTTCAATTTTCTCTAAACCCTCGTCATTGTTCACATGTTTAGTCCATGGTATCCTCAGTAGAACCACATTTCTGTTGCCTCAAGTCTCTTCCTCATCTTTGAGGAGACTGTTCAGCATTCTGTTTTTTTATGTTTTTGGTGACTGGTGAGTTAGTTAAAGATGGGTGATGTAGCAAAGAAAATGACAACTTACCTCACCAAACCTATCGACAGCATGTCACATGTATGCTATGTTGGAAAATAAAGAGCCATAAAAATTGGGTATCAATTTGACGTCAAAAATCCTAACTTTCATGATGCCAAAATAGCTTGTAGTAGAATTTTGAGAGGATAAAATTCAATACAGCAGCTTCATGTCTCAAGAAATCCTCCTTCACACCATGTAACAACTCATAGAGCCAATTCCCCAGTCACTATTTATATATAAGTTGAGAAGTCAGTGACTGGTTGAGGTACGACCAAAGATTTGCATGACATTCTCATATATAAACAAAAGTCAACCCCTCCTATTGACCACCCTCTCCCACTCCTAAGAAATATACTTGGTTAAAAAAAAATTGATAATCATTGCAAAGAAAAATATTTCTATACTAAGAAAAATTGTTTTTTCTATAGTAAAATTCGCCCAATACAAGGCTCAAGAGTCACTCAAAATAGAGTGTTTCATTCTGCATCAATTTGTTGAAAAAAATTTTGGTGGTATAGATACTTAATTGGTAGATACACGTTCCACTTCAATGGAAACATGA